GTCATCTAATTTCCAAGGCTTCCTATTTAAAAAAACAAAAGCAAGGAAGGAAAGAACAATTATTAATAGATATTAATACATTAGAAACTAAACATAAACATACAGGAAGCCCTAAAGTTTATAAACAGCTTATAACAAAGAGGAGAGAATTAGAAGCGTTAGAGACTGCTAAAATACAACAAAACTTGCTTTATTTGAGGCAAACATCATGGCAAAATTCCTCTAGAGCACTAAAAATGTTAACCAGGTGACTCAGACAAAAGAAAGAATCTAATTTTATTACTGCAATGAAAGATAAACAAGGAGTTTTACATTTTGATACTAAAACAATAACAAATGCCTTTTTAGACTATTATAAAAAATTATATAGCAACCAAGATATACACCCAGATAATATCACTACTTACTTAAAAAACAATTTTAATGATTTGCAACTATCTACAGATCATATATCATGGATGGAAAGTAATATCATGGAAAAGGAGGTTCTACAAGCTATCAAAAAATTAAAAGTGAATAAAGCTCCTGGGAAATATATAAAAAATACAAAAACATCTTAGTAAAACCCTTGACAGCTACATGCATGTATGTCATTACTAATGGACAATTACTACCATCATGGACACAGGCATCACTAATAATAATACCTAAACCAGGCAAGGTTCTTACAAATGTCGCCTCATATAGGCCAATATCTTTATTAAATAATGATTTAAAAATTTTATCTACCATCTTAGCTACGAGGCTAAGTTCATTTATCACTCAATACATTCCCCAAGACCAGGCTGGCTTCATGCCACAAAGGGACCTAGTAGATAACACCTATAAAACATTGAGCATAATCCATCATTGCAAACTTAATAAAATCCAATCAGTATGTGTGGCCTTAGATATAGAAAAGGCTTTTGATTCGGTAGATTTTGAGTATTTACACCTAGTACTACAAAAACTGGGATTTGGTGAAAATTTTAGATGAACAATGAAAGCAATATATGACCAACCTTCAGCACAACTTTGAATAAATGGCAACCTATCAGGAAAAATATTTTTATAGCGTGGAACACGCCAAGGTTGCCCGTTATCCCCTATTATTTTTGCTTTAATGATGGAACCTTTAGCCACAAACATTAGAACACATGCCAAAATTTTTGGTGTGCAGATCACAAATAAAGAATACAAATTATCATTACTTGCCGATGATATTTTATTATGTTTATCCCACCCAACAATATCTTTGGTATCACTTCAACACGTTACAAAAATTCAGTGAGATTTCTGGTTTAAAAATAAACATTTCCAAATCTTCTATATACCCAATATATTTGCAAAATTCAAGTAGAATCTATATAAAAGGGATTACATCATATTGATGGACATCAATTTTTTTACAATATTTAGGTATTAAAATACCTCTGAAATGAGAAGATTTAAATAAGGCCAACTATGATCCCTTAATAGAAGAGATCCAGAAATCCTTTGTACAATGGCATAAATCTAATTTGGCAAAATAGATTAAATAGCATAAAAGCATGCGTGTTACCTAAATTTATTTTTCTTTTTAGGGCATTACCCAAAAAATATCTCAAAAGCAATTAGATGGCTGGCAAAAATTCCTTTTAAATTTTTTTGGGGGTATAAGAGACATAAAATCTCTTTTACTACACTCTATAGACATAAGATGCAGGGTGGAATAGGATTCCCAAATATTACAAAATATTACCAGGCTATACAGCTGGCAAATATTCTCAAAATGTTATATGACCACCAAACAAATGACTGGATCTTATTACAACAGCACTATAAAAGTATGCGTGTTACCTAAATTTATTTTTCTTTTTAGGGCATTACCAAAAAAATATCTCAAAAGCAATTAGATGGCTGGCAAAAACTCCTTTTAAATTTTTTTTGGGGGTATAAGAGACATAAAATCTCTTTTACTACACTATATAGACATAAGATGCAGGGTGGAATAGGATTCCCAAATATTACAAAATATTACCAGGCTATACAGCTGGCAAATATTCTCAAAATGTTATATGACCACCAAACAAATGACTGGATCTTATTACAACAGCACTATACATATCCATATAGCGTACCTGAAATAATATGGCAAACACCATCTGAATGACCTAAGGGACTAGAAAATAGTTTTCTTCTTAACATTTTGTTAGGCACCTGGGAAAACAAAAGAAAACATTTAATTACTGGTTTTTCTAAATTTCAAACTTTTTTTAATCAAAAAAATTTATTCCCTATATCATTTCCAATTGAACAAAAGAAATGGAAAGAAGCTAAGGTTACAAAAATTGAAGATTTAATAGAAAGTAATCTAATGATGAGTAAACCTAGCCTAGAAAAAAAATTAGGTTTTTCTATAGCATGGATTCAATATGCTCAATTAAAACACCTATGTACTCAAATAAATGTTAATTTAATTTGTCAACGACCGTTAACAAAGTTTGAATGCATTTTAGAGTCAAAGAAGAAATTTAGAAAATGTATTATAATTAATGTTTATATAGCATTATTAGAACAGGAACAAAACCAATTATTAAGTTATCAGCAAAGGTGGCACAAAATATGTAATAAGACTATATCTGATGAAGACTGGAAATATATATGGAAAACATTTTCCTTTAACACAAATGTAATTGAAATAAGGTTACAAACCTTTAAAATACTATCATTTTGGTATTTGACACCACAGAAGCTGGCATATATATCTCCGACAGCAAAACCACTCTGCTGGAAACAATGTGGAGGCCTTGGCAACTATATACATTGTTGGGTAGAATTTCCTAAGTTAAAACAATTTTGCTTAGATATTTTGGATCAAAAAAAACTGGTCAGATAATAGAAAATACGGTGGGACATATTTTATTTGAATAGGTGGCAAACCAATGTAAGTTCAAAATGTATAACCGAAAGAGTGGCAATCTTATTAGTAGCAGCAAAAAATTCTGTTGCATTACTGTGGAAAAGTAATAAAAAACCCACAATGCAACATTGGCATGATAAACTGTGGAGAATATACATAATGGCAAAAATATCTGACAAAATACAAGACAATGCATACAATTCTGCCTTAAAATTTGCCGCTGTTTGGCTACCTATACTAGAATATTTGCTTGAACAAGGAGAAATTCCTACAATTGTTAATGAGTTAAACATCTGGTGAATAACCATTGTTATATATACTAATACTATTGTATCAAACTAAGAAAAACTGTAAAATGTAATATATAGACGGTTAGTATGTTTTTTTTAAATTGTTAACTTACCTGTATTATGTTACTTGTTTAATAAAAAGTTATTTGGAAAAAAAGTGAATCTGTATATAACTTATAGACAGAGTAGAGGATGAAGATGGATGGTTA